AAAAGAAAATGGAAACTACTGGTTAGGGTTGCACAGACAAAAAGACACTGTCCTCCCAACCAGAGCGCTTTGCAACAGAGTGCGCAATCTCATGGCCAACCTCAAGCTTTGCTGGAGCAGCCAGAAGCACTAAAGGGCCATACTGCAGATGACCTGCCTGCCAATTGATCATCCTGTGCCAGAGATCTGCATCTGGCCTTCCTAGGCTTCTTTAAAAGCTTGAATGAAAGAACGGCACAGTGCAACTACAGCAAAGCTTGGACATCGGATGCCACCCCCAAGCTTTTACTTATACATGCCAAGGTCACGGTCTCCGTATGCGAAGGTCGGCAAAGTACGGCCGTCATCAGACACCCGCCAAAGGTGCATGGAACGGGACGGTTCCACACAAAGCAGGAAGTTTGGATCTGGTCCGTCTGTAAAGGGCACTTCCATGATGTTGGCCTTATAAACAGACTAATCCACTCTCCCTAAAACTAAACCTCCCCACCCCCCCTAATATCAAATACTCCCCATAGTGGTATATTGCAGTATATGGGGCATATCTAATATTTAATGTTAGGGAGGGGATCATTGGAGGCTGTACGAGGGCATGATGAGGCTACTTTGCCAAGTCAGAGGGCTGGCTCAACACCCATGGTCTGCAGCATCTGAGTTTGCGCTGGAGAATGCGTTAAGACTTTCCTCAGATCTGCGATTAGCGGCTGACCACTCCAAATGCTTAGCCATTTCAATCAAGTAACAGAAATCCTGTCAAGGCTGCTAATCTTTGACAGCTTCCAAGCTTCCTGGAAGAATTCTTCACGAAGTTCAGGACCGTCCACGCTTGCGGGGCAAAGTCAAGCAATATGTGCTGGTACTGCATCCTAGGATGGGCGCTTGGGAGGTTTCCCACAGCAGTGGCTGCACTGCATGAGGCATTCGGACAAATGTATCCGGGACATGGCAGCACCTCAAATAAGCTACAATCTCAGATTCGGCTCTGAGAAACCGATGCGCACAGGCTTTCAAGCAGCATGAAAGTTGGTCTCTAGCTTGACTCTGCTGGAAATGAATGATGAACTCAGGAGCTCGGCGACAAAGCGCATACTTGAGATCACCAGCCTCACTTTGCGGGCAGGACCAAAAACTGGGACACTAGGCAGCTCGGGCTGCTCTTCTTTGCCTGTGAACGTCCAGGTACCCCTTCGTACATACATGCGTATCTATGCCTGGGAGCCTGACACCGACAACAGTGCGCTTTGCTGGAGGAGCAGCAGCAAAAGGCAGCATGATGCAGCAGCATGTAGGCAATAACTGCGCACGCATGAAGTCGAGAAGCAAGTCTTCGCCCACCATCCGCACAGGGATTTGATCCCAGGCTTCGGCTCGACATTCGTCGTTGCATGACCTCTTGGCTGCTGGAAGAAATTCTCGGGATTCAACATGAGTTGTGTGTGCAGACCTTCAGTGGTGAGGTATTTGACAAGCCAGGTCAGGTGTCTCGTGTGGGTGCAGCATAGAGCCTCTACCGTCTTTTAGCTGCTGCTCTTGCTGCTTCTCACTCTGGGCAGGCCAAGCAAGATGCAGTGACCCTGAGCATCAGCCATATACTATGCCTGTACAGGAATTCTGCATGCGTCTCGTTCGCGGCGAAGCGAAGCTGTGGCCATGGCTTCCTTGGTCGCTTAGCTGAAGAATGTGCTTCAACAAACAATGGTTTGAGGTTCTATATTCTAAACCCCTCAATCCTAAACCCTAAGCCCAACAATGCAACAAAGGTTTGAGGTTCTATACCCTAAACCCCTCAATCCTAAATAATTTGAGGTACTACCCTAAACCGACGTGGCGGGTGGCACGTTGATGCATCCTGCTTTCAGCTCCCCCAGCTCTGCGGTCAGGGCAATTGCAGGGTCCACCAGAAAAGTGTCCGCTGCCTGTACACGCGGTTGAGGTTTAGGATTTAAGATTTAGGCTTTTTAGGTTTAAGGGTTTAGGGTGTTTAGTGTTTAGGGTTTAGGGTTGTGCGTGTAGGCTGTAAGGTAAAGAGGTGTCTGCTGCCTGCATGCAGGCGTAAGCCTCATAGGTGTCCAAGACCATGCTGCTCCCTTGGCATTTATTGTTGATCGCAAAAAGTTTCAGAAGCACTCACACCTGACCCAGAATGAGCTGAATAAAATGAACTTGTTCCAGCCGAATCTCCAGATACCAGCTCTGGAAAATGTCGGCCAACTTCTTGGCAACGGCTGGGTTGACGCGTCGGCAACTTTGGAAATTTACGGACCGATGTCCAACGCAAAGGCAGTGCCGTCATAGTTCGGATGTGCTGGCTAAAGTGACTGCGGGCCTTGGTGACTTGCCCTATAGATAAGACCTACAAGGAAGCTTGCCAAACATGTTACAAAGGGGAACAATGACTGTGCTCCCTGTTTTACGGGCTTGCGCCTCTTTGGTTAAAGCATGTGCAGGGTGCATCTCATGTTCTTTAGTTTTTGGAATTCTGTCTTTTGTGGCTTTGGGTTTTGGTGGGTTGCTTTGCTTAGCTATGGCGTCACCTTGGATTCAGAAGTTTTTGCGGCTCACGTAGGGCTTGCCTGCATGGCTTGTCTGAACTCGATCGTTGCCGATTGTAATTAGGCAATTGGATTTTTGGGGGGGGCACCATGGCAGCCACACTGCAATGACTTCTTGCAGGGGTGATGGCTGCGTATGGGGCTTACGCTTGTCAAGGTGAATTTGTCAGAGCGGCCGAGAATCTTTGCTGCGCTAGGTGCGCATGCTCTGAGGCTAGCAAATGCACAAAAGCACGCCATGGATAGGCTTTAGATGGCTTTAGCAATGGCCCAACCATGACGCATTTATCTAGTGACCCACCCCATGCGCGAGCAGAACCATCTCTACAAGCCCAGGGTACCACCTAAGAGTCCGGACTCTAGACTGCTATTTGCCTCCTTCATCCTGCTTCCCCTATCTACTCCGATAGCTTGGCTCTACACAGCTGAGGAGCAGCGCTCGTCGTCTCCATCTTCATTTGCATCAGCTGATGGCCGAGACTGGGTCTGGCAGCTTCTGAGGCACAACTCTGGGCAGCGATCGACCTGGGCATAGAAAGCCTTTCTCCAACTCCAATGTTGAAACATGCTCGTGTTGAAAAGTTGCCTGTCTCCTACACCTCCGCCTGCTCCGTTGAATGAGGTCACCGCTGGTGATCCGGCTGCGATTCACCTCCGCTCATATAAAGACTGTCATTCCCACAACCTGCACATGCTCTACTCTGATCAAACTTGAGCAGCTCCATGCAAGAGACAAGCTCAAGCAAAAGGAATCGCACGGAAATCTGAGCGTGGCACGAACTTGGCGTGAGGGAATGCCATGCGCTGCATGCCACACAAGGCAAAGGCCGTGAAAGCCCAGGAAAATCTGCCGCATCCGGCAAGGCCAGGCCCCTGCGCTATTCCCTACTATAACCCAACAGCGCAGCGTTTAGGGTCTAGGTTTTTCTTTTCCACCATTCCCTACTATAACCCCAAAATATACCCCATTAGAAAGCAAGTTCCACTTTCTATTCCATTATTCCTGTATAACCCCATACATACCGCATTATAAAGAATAGTTTCTGTATGTTTCCACCATCCCTATAAAACCACAACATATTTTAGTTTATTCCCCTGCCTTTGCCGCGCTGCGCTGCGCAGCCGCTGACGGCAGCAACTGCCTTTGGGCGGAAGTGCCCTGCGTCGAAGAATCTTTCGGGACCAGCAGATGGAGGCTGGTAGCGGTATGGGCGTCGTGAAAGTGTGCCAAAAGGCTGCGAGCAAAAACGCATTTATCCTTGCCATCATGCGGCCCTTACAACATCTTCAAACATCACTCTTCCAGGAACTTCGTGCTCATCGAAAACACAAATTTGCTAGCCAGCGCCTTCCTTGTAGCACGTGCTTTGCATGTCGCAGTCTCAGTTCTCGGCACCCTGGTGCTGGCCAGCCACGGCCAGGTGCAGCGCGTTCCAGCCAGTGACCGTGCCAACGTCCAGAAGTCCTCATTCGGTCTCACACAGCGGCATCGAAGACACGTAAGCCCGTGAGGCCAATGCCTCGTGCCTTGGTTGGCTCTACCTCAGTGCCGGCATCTCGTCTTGAATGCTGGGTGCAAAGGAAGCTCAGATCGTATCCCAAATTTTCTCGGTGTGAGGCCAGCAGCCGGAGCACGATGTCGTAGCCTCCCTGCCGTGCAACTTGTTGAGTTCGCTTACAGTTTCAAGCGCTTGCAAAACATGACCTGAGCTGCAAAATGGATGGGCAGCTCTGATCTGTGAACCTTCGAGGGTTAGAATTCCTGTGAAAGTAGCTCACCATAGCTCACCACCCTTTACCTGAGACTCTGGCGGTGGAGAGTGAGACATCCGCTCGAGACTCGCAGGAATACATGGTCCAGACAGGCCATCTCATCTCATGAAGCTTATATTTTTGTGCATGGGCCTCCAGCAACAGCGAAACCATCTCGGCGTTGCCTGGTAGGGGTGGAAAACATTCGTTTGCAGGCCTCATCCTTTTTTCAGGTAGCGGGCAAAGCGAGATAGAAATCAGCTTGCTCGATTAAGAATGGGGTACAATATCCTTAGCAAAACAGAAATCATCTGATCACCTCCTTCACTTCCTGCCTGCTGCGGTTGCCACATGCAGGGAAGTGTAGCCTAGGAGGCTGGTGTAAGACTTGCATTTATCAACTATAACCGTACGATAGCAACGTTGATAACTATAGGGGCGAATAAATTGCAACTATGTTGATGCAATAAGAACAATAACAATAGCACAACAAAAACACTCACATTGATGACAATACGGTTTACTACAAAAGGAAAAAGTTTGCCCCCCTAGGGCTTGGGCCATCAATGCTTCGCTGATTTACATCCTGAACGAATGCAGCCAGGCGTGATGCACGACCGAGCGGCGCCGAGATCCGAATCTTAGATCCAAGCCCTGATGATTAAAATGCAAATCGTACTTTGCCAAATAAATAGGGAGACCCCAATATGGACCCAGATACTGTAACCCTTATATATGGAAGCCCCAAAACAAGGGTACCCCCCAGTTTTGGGAAACACCTAACTTGGAAACACCTGACAAACGCAAAGAAAAGCGGTCCACGGCGACCAGCCGCTCCAGCGCCACCGGCTCTTCTTTCTGAAGCCGCCGGCCCTGACAAATATTTATCACTGATACATACCACTGTATAACCCCCATAATTATAACAGTTTCCGTTTTCTTTTCCATTTTCCCAGTATACTGTAACCTGCAATGCTACCCCAATATTCTGCACACTGCTTCTTGGGATGCCGGCCTTGCCCGTGAGCTGCAGGCCATACATCTGAGGGAGGCAAAGGATTGAATCCCAGGTTTCGAGCTCTTGCTGCTCTGAGCCCTGAGCTGCGGGGACTGACTCCTGCGCGCGCCGCATGGAGTGGGCCCCCTCTTCCATTTCGACACGGACCGCCTGGGGCCGGAGACCCTAACTAGAATACTGAAAGACTTGCGCAAGGCCTGAAGAAATTCTTCATCTGGCCGAGGCCCGTCATACTGGATGTACCTCAAGATCATGACAGTTTCAGTTTCAGCTTGAACCGTTTGGAAAGTGTCGCTAGGACCTGGACGTAACCTGAGGTACCTGGCGCAAGACCGGCCAAGAAGCTGCAAGGAACTTTGCAGCACGTTCCAGCAGATTCTTCTTCACAGTAGTCAGGCATGACTTTGACACATTATAAAGTGCTCGCTAAGGGCTGGATCTCGGAATAGCAGACGATACACGTCGGAAGCAGTCTCCTGCCTCCTGCCATCTCTGGGCGCGGGCATCTGGCTTTCGAGTCTTCTCCTAACGGTCCAGTGCAGAAATCCAGACACAGCGCAGCCCTCTCCGGTGCCTTGATCTCATCATCCTCACCAGAATAGGTCGAGAGCGTGCTCGCCTCACCAAGACGAGGTCATGATCAAGGTCGACAGTGCTTGGGGCTGTGAGCACCCAACCAGAGAGGTCTTGCTCCTTGGTTGGCGGCATGCTGATGTCACACAGGCACACGTTGAAAGCCATTCGTTTCAGATTTCGTTTTAGATAGCCAGTCTTCGCCCAGGTGCTGGCTCTTCTTCAGATTTCGCTTCGGCGATTGCGACTTTGATTTCGAAGGCATTTGCGCAAAGATCCAACTCAGAACAAGCCGAGCTAGCCTAAGCATGTGTAGAGGTACGGTGGTAACGCAGGCACTCATGCCATTTGCGCTTTTGACAGGCGACCACGCAGGCTGCAGTGCTATTTGCAAACTGGGATTGAGCTGGGGTGCTCCACCAACTCTTACGTGATTGTGTGCGGCCAGTTGGGTGAGACGATTCTTGATGCCCGGCCGTGTGATCGCCATCCACGCATGCAAGGCAATGCATTCAAAGGCGTTCGCGGGCAGGCTTTTTGCAACGCGACGGGATGCAACCGTCATGGGCCTAACCTGAGTACTCATTTTGGGCAACATCTGGCAAGACGCGTCACTTCTGTTTGCGTTGGCCTCTGTCTGCAATGTCCATGCGAAAGCGCCCTGCTTCTCCCAAAAAAATGTGATAAGCGATAACTTATGACCTAGACTTCTAGGACATGGGCTGTCACCCGAACAACATATGACTAATGCTCGTGTTTCTTGCTCGTGGCCAACTGCTTTACGTTTTCTCAATTTTGCAGGTGAAACGGGCTACTCAGAGCCATGGAAGATCCGGGCGCGGGCCTCTGCCAGCTCCCCACCTCATTTGCAAGACGATTTCCGGTACTTTTGCAAAAATTTTCGCAGTATCCAAGCGCATCACGCACATTGCTATTGTTACTCTTCTTTGCTGGTATCTTATTACTCCTTCTGCTGGTAGTCCTACTATTTGTATAATTTGTTACCATTATTGCTTTTACCACTAGTAGGAATTACTGTTATCATAAGTACTATCAATGCAGATAACAGGAAGAGGCTTCGCAGCAATCGACCCCTTGACCTCTCAATGCTCAAGGACCTATGCCCGCATGCCTTTAGCACTTGCGAAGGCAAACTATCCCAAAGGTATCCCAAGAACAGGTGCATCTTTCTGAGGTGTGGGACGGACCTTCTCACTCTCGAGCTGCACCTTTCTGCAGGAGTGACGTAACCAGGCTTGTGCAAGGAATGAAACAGAGAGAGTTAGCTCGATTCAGCGGCAATTCGTAAGCATGTGGCACTTTCCCAAACTAAGGGTACCCAACTATAGGCCCCTAATATACTACAATCCTTCTTATGCGGACCCCCCCAAAAAGTACCCTTAATTCTGGGAAAGCCCTAAACCCTAAGCTTATATATCCTTATATACCCTATATAACCCCTATAACCCCTTGAAAGGGTACTTGTAAACATGGGTGGTTGTCAAAATTATGGCCCATTTTTGGTTCCCTACTATACTACGGCACCTAATATTTAGGATGCCCAAAAAGGGACCAAAATTTTGACAACCACCCATATAACCCATTATAGTAGTTTCCATTTTCTTTTCCATTATCCCCAATATAACCCTAATATATCCCCAATATTACCCCAATATAACCCATATGTAGATGTCTCCAACTGTGTGAGCCTCCTCTGGCTCTGACTCAGAGAGGGCAACAATGGGCCTCAGCACAAATCCTGTTTCCGGCTTCCAACTTCTTACTGGGGGTTAGTAGGGAGAATCCGGACATGTTATATAGGGATTCTATAGGGATAATGAAACGGAAAATGGAGACCACTATTTAGGGTTTAGGTTTAGGGTTAGTAGAGAGCATGCCAATATACCATATGGGATTCTACAAGGATTATATGCCCTATTTCCCTACTAACAACCAGTAAGCTTTTCAGCGGCTGCGAAGAATCCACGGCTTCACATGCGCATTAGGTACTCTATTGAACTTCATTGAACTTTCCCCAGATGAGGAATTTCAAAATGTAGTACATTGTAGTACAATATTGTACCACCGTGGACCTCGCACAGATATGATTCAGAAACATTTGAGTGTAATGACTGCTTGTCCACGGCCCCAATGCACATCTTGAATTGTGGCGAGCATCTATACGGCGGTTGCATTTAGTTAATTTAGTTTGTCAGAGCACTTCTCAGATCTTCTCAGGTACAGGGGTCAATTCTTTTTAGGGACTCCCACAAGAAATTTCTAGCTTACAAAATACCTGAGCTTTGTACTCGTCATCAATGCTCTCTGCGTGGCTTTCAGCGATACTCCGCGGAGAGCTGCCAGGAATACTCCTGCATCAGTCTCAAGTCTGAAGTCGTGATCGTGGTGGTGGTGGTGGTGGTGGTGGTGGTGGTGGTGGTGGTGGTGGTGGTGGTGGTCGTGGTGGTGGGGGTGGCGGTGGCGGTGGCGGTTGGCGGTGGCGGTGGC